TATAAGTGTATTCATCAAGTACCTATCAAATTCTAGGCCATTCTTCATTCATTCACAACCGTGAAAATATTCTGTTATCCATAGTTTTGGGATCACTGATTCATATTTTGTAACTGCAAATATTTTAATTTCACCTGGTAATATTTCAAATAAGATACTGAAAAGTCCATTAAATTCAATAAAATCAATATACATGTATGTACAATATACATGTATGTATGTACTATAAAAGACAGTAGTATGGATAATATTGTAGCAGAACNATTGTGGCAGTAGGAGCGCCAATTAATTTTTATTGTTGTTTTTATTTTTATCGTTATTAATAAAATATTTCTTATTATTATCAAAAAAACTCAACAGTTTGAAGAAATTGAAAAAAAGAAAGAATGGGACAATCCAAATTAAAATGTAAAAAACGGCCTCATTCGAAATATATCCACAAGAAAAAGGCAGATTTATTAATACTAATAATAATAGTATAAAAAGAGTCATCTCCACTCTAACGGAAAGAGCTTAAAGAATATGTGGACCAGGGCATCGATAGGAAGAGCTGGAATATCTTCAAGTGACCTTGAGATCGAATGGATACAGTGTACCCGAGGTCAACAAAGTCATGAAACTGAAGATTTCCACGGCTTAAAATGGGGAAGAGGCTCTGATGGTTGCACGCGCGTATCAACATTCCCTAGGGTCACAGACAGAATTGGAAAACTATTGGGGAAACACGACATTAAAACGGGTTTCAAACCCAGCACCAAAAAGATACAACAAAGCCTCAGGTCAAAAGGGACCCACTATCAGCAGCAGCCAGTAATCAGAATAGATCTGGTGTTATGGCCTACAAAGTATTCTTTGATTATTATAATCTTGTAGTTATTTATAACAATACCAAAATAATAGAACAAAAAGTATGTATATATAAAAAAAATTGAAAATATAAAGATGGACGTTGATGGTGAAAAATTAAAAAGTTACACTTTTTCTTTCTTATTTAAAAATTGTAAAATATTGTGATACGGAGTAGTAAAGCGATCTATATACGGAGTGAATAAAACTTCTAGTAGAATAACGACTAAAATATATTGGTTTTCTACTTCCTCCCCTAAGAATATTCATTTATATGGGATGTTTGAACGTACAAGTTGAGGAAAAAAGTGATTTCCGTAGTACATTGCTATTGTTTTTTCTAAACATGATTATACCAAAAAACAGTAATAGCCATTTACTAAGGACCAAATGTTGCGAATATCATGGATAATTATGATATATTTCACTGTCTGTGGACTCACCGATCACTGACTTCACTAAAATATTTGTATCCAAAATCATTTACAATCTCAATACGCAAAAAATCTTTGATATTTCATCAAAAAAATTATCCAGTCAATTATGTTGAAGATTTTGATACTGTCAATGTTGAAATGAATATCAGTTTTTTCAACTCTATGAAACCTGTCACAGGATTCGTTCCTCATTTCCTTAAGCCTCATCAATTATAATTAATTTTTAATATTTGTACTGTGAATTAGAATATCGCTGAGAACATGGATGAAATACAATATAATTCTTCTCGGCACATCCTATTTTCAATAGCGAATATTAAGTTTCAAAGAAGGCATATCTTTGATAGGTATTTGGGAAAAGGTTTGGAATTTCCAGACGCTCTTATCAGCTAAACGGTATAGGTAGATTTAAATGTAAGCTCTTTATTACTCTTGAATAGCATAGTAAAGGGGGAGGTTCAAACTTCAGAAACTCAAATCCAAATAGTCAACATGTCCATGCCTGGAACGTTGTTTGTTGAATCTTATCTCTTTATCAAGAATCTAGTGCTTTCGTTAGGGTGATGGCTGAACCGAAAACGGATAAAACAGAAACATCTCGCTTTCGGTAACGTATCTTACTTTATACAAAATGAGTTTAATTGTGTGTAGTTCATAGTATGAGCATATTACAGTCAGTGGAAAGTGAGTAACTGATGGTGGACTTTTAAAATGCGAGGATAAGTCGTCGGAATTGAGTTGACTTTACAGCTGAATTTTTCAACAGACACACGTCTTTGTTATGACAAACCATCCCTGAACAAATACATAAATAGATGTTCATACCAATTCACTTATTGAAAATAATTTTGAAAATATTTCAAAAGCATAAAAAACATGAAGAAAACTTTAAGATTACCACAGTATTTGTTGACCAGTGAATGGAGAGTTCAGGTAGATTTTTATTGTAACTTCTATACTAGCCTATATCTGGTAAGTCGTTGAGTTACATGATAAAAAATATTTGGTGCAGAAATGGGTGAAATAGAAATGGGACAAAATTGTTGAGATTTTAGTATTGTATACCAAAAATAATTGTTCAATAGCAAAAGTATTATATGAAGAGGGAACTTAACTTATTCTTATAGTAATACAAATCTGTTTTGGAGTTTTTCTAACATGATTTTATTCAAATCATAAGGTGGATTCTATATCGGTCGGTTCGGCGTGGGTGCTTTGTTAACTCACTCGAATTGACTGCCGTGTTGGTCGGTGGTTCAAGCTTTAGGCTGAAAGCTGGATTTTCACTTGCTATCGTCCAACCCGTCTTAGGAATCACACGTTGAAAAGTGAGACCTTGTTAATCCTTAGCTCGCACAAGTTTTAACTTCTGAAGGTTGTCGTTCGTAGGGGTGTGACAGCTGGTTAACGGAAAAACAGATTTTAAACAGATATAACGCTCCTAAAAATCAATTTACTATGAACGAATGCATTACTATGCATTCTTTATTCATTATTTATTTTATTTCTATCTCATTATTGAAGTTTTCACATAACCTACACCGATCGATTCTGTAAATCGCTCTGTTAGTGAGAGTTTATTGAAAAATTATAGGAACGGTATTTCTGCAGAATGAAATGCAACTATATTCATTTTCTACTTGTAACGGTTGCAGTAATCTGAAAATGGGTTGAAGTCCTTTATCGTTTATGAGAACTAAAAACACCAGGGGGCTCTGCAGAACACCCGAAGTGACTACGAAAGGTGCAGATCTGTATCCGTTTATGTTCACAATCATTAATTATTTATTTTTGCTGCGTATTAAATACAGAATGCCGCATTTGATACGCCTAGTGTACTGGGGAAACCCTTTTCCACAAACTTCTCAAATTATTACTCGATCTAGCGGATCAGCAAGCGTTAAACATCAAACGGTGCACTTCATCACGACGACAGGACCATCAGGAGCAAACAAGATGATAAGATTAGCACCGGATCGACTATGAGCGGCCAAGAACGAATTTGACGCACTAACCATGCTGAAATTGCACGCCCATCGAAAAGCTGTTGGTCGTCCCCATTGCACATGGTATCAGAAGTGGAGATCATGTGGTGACTACCGCGGAGACATCGCGACTGTTTCCCTGTACGTCACATACGACTTATCACAATAACTGACTGGTTAAGACTATCTTCTCAAAGATATATCTTATACGAAGCCTTCCACCAAAGTCCATTCGCAAAAGGAGGCATTTGCTAGACAGTGCTTACTACGCCATTTGGAATGTTTGAATTTCCCTTTGTGACATTTGGACTGAGAAACGGTCCTCAGACTTTTCAAAGATCCATTGACGAAGCGCTCAGAGACTTGGAATTTTTCTGCGCATATATACGACATTTCAATAGCATCTTCCTTGTAAGACGAGCATCTGGAGCACCTGAAAGTCCTATTCAAGAGGCTACAGGACAATGATGTCGTCATAAAACCCTATAAAATGCGTCTTCGGCCAACCAACTGACAAGTTCCTCGGATACCAGGTGAGCAGCCATGGTACGCAAGTGTTACCAGAAAAAGTGAAGACAATTAGGAAATGTCCGCGTCCTGAAACTGTCAGACAGCTTCGTCAGTTCCTGGGTATGCTGATTTTTTATAAAAGATTCACACCTAGGACAGCACAAGTTCAGGCTCATTTGAATGGCCTTTTGGCAAGGCGACGTGAAAAATAAAGCAAGAAGTCTATGTCCTAAGGTGAATCTTTTCCCTACTTTACAGCCTAGATAGGATATTGTTTATATTGAAGGATAAAATTCGGTGCTCAATTACTTTCAGGCAGATTTGTGACGATTCCAGTTTAATTTCTTTATCCGACTTGTACACATTATCGCTCTCATCTAGTTACATATAATGAATGAAAGGAAAATATCAAAGTGTGAACTGCACCATTTTTTATGGAAATATTATTGCAGATCAATGTAGTTTTATCAATAAGAAAACAAACTATTCGTATGATTCGAGAAAACAATTGTTCAATGCTTTATGTATTGAATTTTTTAACATCTTTGATTTTCCATGAATGAATTGAAAATTGTATTTCTTCAATTTTCCAGGCATGATCATTTCTTAAGTCTTCAAAGGCTAATCAGGCTGGCAACCATTCGTGTTTGTATTTTTACCGCTTATTTGAAAATGAATATTGGTAATGCAGTTTCGGAAAATGGATTTTTGTTAGTAAATTCTCTACTGTCCAAAAATATTTTTTTTTATTTTGAATATGTGCCATAGTTCTTGAGATGTTCGATGAAGGCGAATTGAACTAGACTATAGGAAGTCGATCTTCAACAAATCGATTTGCTTACAGTTATCCAATTCATTAGAGATGTTTTCAGAGTACGTTTCAATGCCTAGTTTCGGAAAAAAACCGTGTTGATATTCTATAAAGACAATAAAATGAAATAATATCAGATATTTTGGCCTCTATATAGTATTTTACTGAAGATGGATAATTTGTTAATGTCGCGGTGATTTTTTACTTAATTTCTATTACCAAATTTTTTATTATTCAGTTTGAGTACAGCAATCCCAGTTTATGGACTTGTTGAATATCCATCTATTGATAGGCAATAGTTGAATTCCGTACGCAAGAGTATTCGAGAGTTTCCAACAAATAAATTATTAAGCGTTTCTTTCATGGGTAGATAATTGATGTAATGACCGATGCGTTTTTTGCGACTTACTGTAGGGAGAATCATTGCGAAATTGAGCGGAGGAGGCGGAACAAGATGACGGCTTACATAACGGAGTTATCCGACATGGTTCCCACGTGCAGTGCCCTTGCCAGAAAACCCGACAAACTCACTATCCTGAGGATGGCTGTGGCTCACATGAAACAACTCAGGGGTAAGTTAACAACTCTTGGCTGAATCTGTTAGAATCTGGTTGAAATATAGTTTCAATAAGTTTAGTCCGTTTGTGGCAATTAAATAATAATAATAATATTCACATTTGTTTTTTCTCACATGGTCTTTCACCTTTATCTAGTCCAATTTGTAAATAAACAAAGAGAACTCCCATTTAAGACCTTACGGTTGTGCATGGGTCATCTTATTTCATAACTTTGAAAACTAATTTATCTATTTTGAGGTTTTATGTTGATAACTGGTATGGAAAACTGAAGTTTGATCCCAACACCAAACTGTTATTTTTAACACCTCGCCATGTGTTTCATTCACCAAGTGTTCATCATCAGATTGAGTTTCATTGACCTGGACGTCATTTTGTACTTGTGATGCACTGTTTGGAACCTTTGATGTAGTAATGAATATTACTGGAGTTTTATCCCACCAAACCGTTATTTTTAATATCACCTTGGATTAAACTCCAGTTATATTTATTACTACACCAAAAAACAGTGCATCACAAATATTAATAAAATATCCAAATATTACAACAAAACATCTCTCTCAATTCATGCACTCACTGGATGTGAGTATATTCGCTTTTTTCTCATAAAATTGAAAATACAATGATAAGATTTTAACCCCTCTTTTTTCTAAGGAATCTGTTGAAAAAAAAATATCGATCCTACAAAAAAATGATAGGGACTAAAATTAAAGGGAATTTGATTTTGAACAAGAATCAATATTATAGGAAATTCAATTTTAAACAACTTTCGTAATATTTTCCGTGTAAAATTGAAAATAAACAAATGATTCAATAAACAAAAATCAACCCTTAAATTCAAGATGGCGCATGACGACACGGGTCTGGTACCCCGGAAACTTAAATTCAGGCTTCCAGAAAGAATTCCGAAAGAAAATTCCCAGTAAAAATGTTTGCGATGTCAAATCCTAATTAGACTGGGCTACAATCAGTCTTTTCAAAGGCATGGTTTAGAGAAATACTGCAACGCCATCCAGTTCAATTTGAAGTTTACATGATGTTGAGTGCGGAGATAATTTATACAATCTTCTTCTTGACAACCTGATAATTCCTTATTTAAATGTTTTTATAATTGTTCATAAACTGCTATTTGATGAAGTTTTCTAAGAATGACTACACTGTTCAGATTGAAAAAATCAAGAGTAGGAAGTATCTAAAAGGAACAGGAAGGAATAACTGAAATTTTGTGTTTGTTTTTCAGTTCTCAGAACAGGGTGTGCTTTTGACAGGCTTCAACTGTTACTTGTCAACTGATTGTATAATTTCATAATGTTTTTAAATTAAGAGTTTAGACGCACATTCAAAACGAGGTGTTTCTGTTCATTCTGAATGTGAAATCCTGTAAACCTACCCTATATTCTCAGGAAGGTAGGAAGTTGATGGGTTTCCAAAGAATAAACCGCCTTGTAATTGACTCTTGGGCATATCTGGGTTAATACCGAAATACAAAAATGATAAAGTAAATAAAACAGACCTAAAATATGATGAATTATTTTTAACAGTAAGAAATTAATTTTTTCTGAACTTACAAGAAAAATTAGATGACTTCATCACATTTAATTCATCTTAAGAACTTTCTGCTTTAGAATCAACTGCGAATAATCGAATTCTGCAAACAACTGAAAAATAATGAGTAGGTAACTTCTTCAAGAAATTTCATTCAACAAACGCATATTTTTGTATTTCAGATGTGTTGAGAATTTTGGGCATATACTTAAATTTTTTTTCTCATTCCGAGGCAATTGAAGATTTTTCATTAAGATTGTGGACGCGAGAAGGCGTCTACATCAATTATCAAACCTTTCAATGATCTCAAATCATTCGAAAATGAACAATACTCAAACAAAACAAATAAGTCATATATATTAATATGAAAAGAGAAATGAAAATTTCTATGTTTTTTACCACTTTTATTTGTAACTAAAGTTACTACAGTTTCGTCCTATAAGACGTCCTTATAGGACAAAACTGCAGTAACGTTAGTTACAAATAAAACTGGTAAAAACATAGAAAGTTTCATTTCTCATGATGATTTCCTACCACGAAGTAACGGCTACATCCATGAATTTATATACATTAACCTACTCTGTCCATTAGTGGTATATGTAGATATATCGTTTCAATTCAACGTTTAGGACAACGTCGTATTCCGGGTTATTAAAAAGTTATAGCCGCTTGTGTCTACAAATTAACTTGAATTTAACTGCAGGTCGTTCAGATCAAGATATCCATGGTTAATTCAAGATGGTTAATAAAGTTATTAATTAGGCAATTACAAGTTCAATTTGATATTTCTTGTACTCATTTATTGTTCCAGCAAGTATTACTGATTTTACATTCATTTATTGTCATAATATTGTAATCTACATTAAAAAACTAGTTAGTACAGTTTATTGTATGATTTTCACTATCGAGGGTTTTACAAAAACCGCGACACGTGTTTCGCTATACGATAGCTTCTCAAGCAACAGTTGCTTGAGATTCCAGGTTCAATTCAATGCCACAAAAATCCAGGCATCGGTTTTCTACAAGAAGATGAACTCCGAACCAGATATAATAATGTCAGGTCAGACAATTCCGCTTAGTGCTTCGATAAGTTTGTTGGGAGTTAAAATTGATACCAATGTTCTCAGCACAATCATGCCGCTGGAATTGCAAAGGCGGCTCCTCAAAAGATTGGAACACTGTTCCAAGCCAGAAAACTGTACACACTTCAGCAACTTTTGATGCTTTAGGAAACCCAGATCAGACCTTCTTTGGAGTATTCTTCAGATTCAGATTGTTTTCATTCATACTTTGAAATCGAGCTCCCTAAAAATCTTCTGGGTTCGGTCACACATGCGCAACGTATCTCTACTATATCCACGACTATCTCTACTATATCCAATACCATATAGGGATCGATAAAAATTCAGAAACACATGAGACAATCTCAATCTGAAGGAAGGGGTAATACGTAAATAAAGTCTGGATACCTGTACTGAATTGCACACAAATCAGATCACCACCGATGGAATGTGCCAATTCAAAAACCGGAGAGTAAATTGAATCGAATTGATCATTTAACAGGTTGCACCCGCAATGTTTATGCTTGTAAATTTCCAAGGATTCTAAATAATTGAGTTTGCAAACCTTCCTTGCATAGTGCAGAATTTCCGTATCATTTAGATTCGGAAACTAGTTTGGATACGTTGATAACAGATACAGCTATTGCATTGAAACAGACAGATAATAGAGATATAGGGGCATACAAGATAAATGAAGTAATTCAGAACCATCCATTCTCTTTATCAAACAGTAGAGAAACCGGCATAATAAAAACTATACAACAAAAAATAAGAAATAATGATCTTGTTTTCACGAAAGCTGATAAATCGAATGCCATAGTTATCCTTGAACGAGAAGCATATGTTCAGAAAATTGTGTCAGTCATTCGAGATGAAAACCTTACTGTCATCAAGAAAGACTCGACGAAAAATAGTCAAAATGAACTGAAAAATTTCCTCTCAGATACTTGAATCTTTTTCACGGAATCAGAGAAACGGAGAATCACCAACATGAACCCCTCTTGCCCTAAACTGCATGGCCTGATAAAAACACATAAAGAGAATAACCCCATAAGACCGGTAGTTTCGTATATAAATAGTCCAGTAAAAGAAATAGGAATACGTTTCAAACAAGTTGTTCAAAAATATTACCAATTTCGTCCTACCTCACAGCATTAAAAATTCACTGACTTTAGTAGAAAACATAAGGAACCAAAACCACGCCACATAAATTCAATTTTAGTTTCATTCGATGAAAAGAGTATGTTCTCCAACATTTTAGACATATTAGAGCAAGCCAAAGTAGACCATATCATTTCCTTTGAAGTTTCAACAGCTTTCCATGTGTGCCTGAATCAGAGCTACCTACAGTTCAATAACAAATTCTATAAACAGGATTCATATTTACCAATGGGCTCACCCCTTAGTCCACTTTTAGCAGACATATTTATGAACAACTTGGAGACCACGAGAGTAAATTCCGACCTGGGTAAAAAACATATTCATTTTCGGAACAGATATGTAGACGATATTCTTGCCTGTTTCAGAGGTACTACACGACAGCTGAACCAATTTATGACATTCATGAACAATCTCAATAGCAACATTCAGTTCACACTCGAAAGAGATAGAGAAACAGATAAATTTCTTAGACCTGGCCATTACACACAATCAGAATAAATTCGAGTTCAATGTTTTCAGAAAACTTAGCTGTACAGACATCACCATCCCAAGCGATTATTTCCATCCAGACAGTCATAAATTAGCAGCCTACAACTCAATGTTGCACAGAGCATTCGCACTGCCTTTGTCTGCAGACAATCTAGCTAGGGAAATTGATACAATTACACAGATAGGTCATAATAATGGTTTCAACGCAGATACTGTCCAGAAGTTAGTCAGGAAACAAAGTCGGAAATTCACAGATTAATATATCCTCAGGTCAAACAACCAGAAATCAAGAAATGGGTAACGCTAACATATTTTGGAAAAAGAACAGAAATAATCGCAGGTTTCTTCAGAAAAAATAATGTGGAAGTAGCATTTATACCACATGCCAGGTTATCTCATTTCCTTTTCAATGCCAAAGATAAGGTCGACAAATTGGAAAAATCTGTAGTTTATAAGCTTAAGTGTCCGGAGTGTAATAGTGTTTATGTGGGACAATGCGGACGAAATTTCCAAAAACGGTATGCTGAACATGAAAGGTCCTTCAGACTAGGAAAAAATGATTCGACGTTTTTAAACCATTCCTTGGCATGCAACCACAAGTTTCCGAATCTAAACGATACGGAAATTCTGCACTATGCAAGGAAGGGTTGCAAACTCAATTATTTAGAATCCTTGGAAATTTATAAGCATAAACATTGCGGGTGCAACCTGTTAAATGATCAAATCGATTTAATTTACTCT